GGATCTGTGCTTCGTTTCCAGACTCATCTTATTTCTATTTTATTTTTTATTTGTTTATTTATTTACAGGTCGGACGATGCTCAAGGCGAAGACGATTGAATGGACAGTGTAGGAAATCGTTGTAACATGTGAGAAGGTCTGCTGCAGTCGAGAAGTAAAAAGCTAGAAAGTGCCCATTTTTGCCCCTACCTTTCGGACTGTGGATCGCTCCAGATTCGGAAATAAATTAGGAAATGATCTTCCAATTGTGTTTATTTTACGTGAATATTGGTTGAATTCACTGATTATTACTGGTCGATAAATTCATCCCAATGATGTTTTGATGGTGGAAATATGCAGCCGTAAACACTTCAAGGCATAAAAGCGCTGAAACTTGAGATGGGATTATCGGCTAAAAGCCATCGGCAAGCCCAGCGATGCCGAGACGCTATTAAGAGCTGAAGTGGCCAGATTTGGCCGCTCTCCCAAGGTGCTGTCCGATCTCGTCAAACATGGGAGCCGAAAACTTTCGTTTTCTATTCGAGAGGCTTTGTTTATTGTAACCACACTGCACTGTGAGTTACCCTTGAACCCCTTGTGTAAGTAGCGGAGAGGCAATTGCCAAGAATTTATATTGTTAGGGCTCCGACCACGCTTGCACACGCTATCCTTTACCCCAGTGCTCTGAGGCCGATCTTGACAGATACCCCACGTAAAAAATGCTACTGTGGTTGTGAGACGGAGATTGGGTAGTAGCAGGTGGCTCACCTACCACGTGCCCGGCTAGAGAGTCAATCCGGATCACCCAGGCCAACTACCCTGGAAGCCACGGTTAATTGTCCCTACAGATTCCGTCTGAAAAGAAAACACTAATCTTTTTACATTGGCAGAGCCCCGCAGGTCATTTGACTGTGCACTACGATCCTAAATGGAAGTAAATGTGTGCCGCTTCACAACGGGATTGATCAACGACGAATACTTCACTGTTACTCTTCATCCTTTTGAGGTGATGGTGGTGTAACGGTGACGCAGCTGCCCGGAAAGCGTGACATCTTGGTTTGTGTCCAGGATGGGGCAAGAGCTTTGTGGTTCATAACGCTGGCGGTAATTAGGGAAGAGTTTTTTCTGATATTTTTTTCCACCAGTTTCACGCGAATTTCCATTCTCATTCGCTTCGCAGACGCATACAAGAGAAGTGCAGGAAGGATTAGCAGTAAAGCTTGAGTAGTGCTTTTTCCGAATGCGCCATATTCTACATCCATCATTTCTATCGTAGCAGCATGGGATGTGATATGACCTAGACAACGATTCACATTGGCCCTTCCGCCCGGAAGGCTGGTAGCGATTAACCGACACAGAGGGATGGACAGCTGGTTGGACCGGTCAGAAGCCAGTCCTGGTTCCCTAAGGCGTCGCATGTATTATGTAACGCTCGTTGCCACTACACCATCTGAGGAATTTTTGAAGCAATACGGGAACAAAAAATATAAATGTGTGTTTTTATACAAAAGCAGCCAATTAACCGCAGGCCAAAATAATGTGGAGGTTAACGTCTATTCGAAACGTCTTTTTTTCAACTCATAAACATTAGAAAAATAGTTCGTAGTTCCTAGAATAGTTGGAGATGAGTGGGTGGGACTGGCGAATTACATGCCATGAGCGAGGATCCATTTCGCATACTTCTCTCCCCGGGTTCACCGGCTTCATATTCCCTAATAAGTGCACTTGCTGCGCCTTACACAGTGCACTTACGATGGCTTTTTTGGACACATATGATAGCGATATTCATGAATAGTGTCAGATACAAGAGTGTTTGACCGTGATTCGGTTCCGAGTCGAGCGCTATTTGCCGAGCGGAGAGACGAAAGTTTCGAATAGTCGTCAAAGGCACCTTCGTACCGGGAGGTACCCGAACCAGTTTACCGCACACACACCTACTTCTAATTCTCCCAGCTAACGCGAGTAAGAACAAATAATGACCGCCAGAAAAGAAGAATGAGAAGAGAACTGCTTACGCAAGAATCCATTGTAGTACTTTGGTGTCCCTTTGTAGACCTGACATGGTCTCATTGTAGTAGTCTTGTCGTTGTCGGACCATTTGCACAAGCAGATCCGACGCCTTCGACTCGTCCTTTAGTACCAGAAGAATCAGGGCAGCGACAAAATTAAGACCCTATAAAACGAATTTAATAAGGTGGATCAGATTGCATTTTTTTTTGTAATGCTTCATGTGCTGAAGTAGAAACTACCACTAAATAGTTCTCCACCAAGAACTCTGGCAGGGTACACCTTCGGGACGAGTGAAATGGTGATTCCGCGCCCCGAATTTCTTGTTTGGGTGCGACGCCTTATACTCAAAATCCCTGTGATGTGGTAGGCGTGGCTGAATACTTGAATTGAACGTGGTGGCAGTTAAAGGTTTTTCTGAGACAACTTCTTTTTGGGACGATTTGTTCAACAAAAAACAGGATGTCAGTTGTCTCAAAGCTAAGCATCCCATGAATATCCCATCCTACGCCATACTTCGAATGCCAAGCCTACTCCGTCTCAGGGACACTATCTTACCAGATTTTCCTAAAAATTAGCCATCGAGCAGAGAATGAGACAACTATCAGAGATAGCAGTTCTTTTGGGCATCTAAGCAGGAGTATTTATATGTGAGAACCAATAATGGGAAAGTTCTCTCGAGGTCAGATAAAATCCTCTCACAACCGAGTGCCACCCCTCATACTCGCACAACGATAGCGTATGATCCTTAAGTTGGAACCTGAATGTTCCAAAATCGTGGAAGGTAAGAAAAGGTTGAAGTACAAGACTATATGAAGTATATCGACTTTTTGTATGATACGCGCCAGAATACAAACAATTGAGGCACTATGTCATGCGTCATTAAACACTTCTCATCCCTGAGACGGAGTGGGCGTGGCATTTGAACATGGCGCAGAATGTTACTCGTGAGATATTTCAATTCGAGACAACTGTCATCTCGTTCTGTGTTGGGCAGAGGCACGACCACAATTGTGCCAAAATGAAAGCTCTCTGGAAGTACAGTCACAGCCACGTCTAGTTGAAGTGCGTAGCCACGCCTACTGCATCCGACGCTTTGAGTGCTTATTATGCCTCTTGCGCTATCTCGTGTGGATTATGGGTTATATCATAAGGAGGGTAAAATTCTCCACTGGAGAAGAAAAACATCACCTTAAAAGTCGTTATTAGCATGTTTCCTGCGGCAAAGTCAGATTGTTTCAAAACTCGAGAGTTCTTTGATTTTAGTACTGAAGTTATAATTGGAGCTTGACGCGTGCTTCGCTCTTCCACCAAGGTGTCCCTTTTTAGCGCGATCGATGCGCAACAGAAAGATTCAAGATGAACGGTGCGGGAGATTTCCCCTTCGAAATGCCGACAACCCCTTCCGTGCGCTTTGTGGAGCGTCACTGGCCCGATGCCATGTTTACCAATCATGGTACGCAAATATGCAGAAAAGCAGTCTTTTCATCGTTGGAACACTTCAGGAAAACGCTTGTCGCTTTGTACTGTCGCCTAACGGCGCATACTGGTACACAACGTTTGTGAAACGAATCTTTCCCTTACCTGACAGTATCCAACGGACGGCACATGCTGCGCAAGGCTGTACAGTACTCGTCCCAGTGCATTACGTACCCTATAATAGAATTTTTATTGGGGAACGACGAGATGGTCGTTAAGCACGACGTTATGATTGCTATCTCGTTCGATGAGGTGTCGCATTCGATCACCGACCAAAGCAGAAGGCCATTTGCACCCGACGTCGGCGACTTTGATCTGACAACCGCCGTCCACAGACAAAAAACTGGCGTCAGGAAGACGGGTATCAGACAACACCTCAGTGCAAAAAGTCCAAGTACTAGCGTTTAGACGTTTGAAAATTGTAAGGTGTCTGAATAAACGAACAATTGGCAATGGGCCAATTGAATGCTAAATAACTTCGTGTGCTTGAAAGAACTTCCGTGAGGCTCTTTTCGCTCTGAGTGGCATGGCCATGAATAATTGCTATAGCATTTTGCGCACGTGAAGTACATAGTGCACTTGTGTGACGCCGTCCCACAGCTGTCTTAATAATTTATTCCAGTACAATCCGATTATGCTTGGCCTTGCTCGACTGAGAGGAAAATGGTTGGATTTTGAGAGATTAGGTTCACTTATTGTCAGGACAAGTATATCTACGCTTTGAAGATCTGGAGCAGTGTAAACAGCTTGAAGAGCTCCTCGAGCACCATTGCGAGATAATAGGATTGTATCTTTGTTGCAAACAGTGTATATATACTTCCCTAGAAATCCCTGAGATCGGGTAGGCGGGGCATTATGAACGTGGACATCAAGGAAGGGCAGTTTCAGGAAGCTCATGCTAGGAAATCCTCACGAACTTCAGAAACGGAGGTGGTGGCAGTGCTGTTAGGTTAGCGGGAATGTTCTGTCATACGTTTCTGGAAACAAAATACTTGCCCATTACCTGTAATACACAGAGAAATACCCTTCCTATTAGTACCACACGCTTGACTCTTACTTGTTCATCTTTTGCAATATGGACAAAAAGGGAGTCCGGTACCATCTGCACCTGGCCCTCGAAGCGTTCCCTCAGACCACCGCTCTAGCGCGAGAGCTGTCAGTGCCTAAATAAGGGAGCTGCGACGATGCCCCCAGTTATCGGACAATCTTCCGCGGAGCTAATGCTCCAAAGCGAGAGTCTACATTTCGAAAACGAAATGGGGTCTGAGAGTCCATGTGAACTTAGCTGGACGGAGGGGTCGTAAACTGCTGGCTTCCCTACAGAATTCATCCCTACAGAAAGTAAGTACGAGATGCAAAAGTGACCTTTCGATCAGAGGGAGGAATAGGTCCGCATGGTCTCTTTTCAACATGACCCTGCAGCCCACTCCCACCCGAAAAAGATCGAGCCGAACCTCATGCAATAGAGCTAAATGGCTCCCCATATTCACCGTTGTAGCCCAGGCTTTGCTCCTTCCAAGTGCTGGTTTGGCATGGGACCGTATAACATCGCGTCAGAATTTCCTAATTACCTTTTGCACATTTCTGTTTTTCGACAGAACATCTTTGAGCACCGTTTGTTTGCAGGGTGACATTAGTGTCAAACGTGCATCGAGGTACTCCTTGGGCTTGAGGGGGGGGGGCGGTATAGGCCGCTGGGAGAGCGAAGGTGTGTGGGAGGGTCGCAGTGACGAAACAGCTTGTGACAACTGATCAAATGGGGGTTGGTGGTGAAAACGGGTATTAGGCCGCGGTAGGAGCACTTTGTAAGCATCCATCTATGTCGGGCCCCTTCGCAAAGACCTGCAGACGAATTTCATTTTCACATCATTTTCTTACACACTTTTAGTGTGAAGATCAGCAAGTCCATGGAAGTGGGGAGAAACTGTTTTTCGAATGACAGGATAAAGAACCTGGCTGCAGAATCTAGGTAGAAACCAATTTCTGCAGAAATCTAGTTAGAAACAATCTAAGGAAACCAAGGGCTTGAATATGAACGCAACGTCTTACACTGTTACAGGAGTCCTACCGGGAGATTGCAAAATACCGGCCCCGTCTAAGGGAGCTTACAAAATACCCACCTCCACGTATGTGTAGATAATACCAAGATGTTATACAGTGTGAAGCGTGTGGGCCCGCTTGCGAAGCCTTTATGATTGAGTTTGTTTGAATGTGACATCCACGACTCCCTCCCCGTGCGAGAAATGTAGCGTCCCGCATGCCAGAGAAATGAAAATATGCGCGGTCGTCAACGTGTCGTTACAGTACTCAAGTGGTTACCTAGCTCTGACAAGTACGAATAACCTCCCTGGGTGCAATGTCCGTATGAATTCACCGTTCAGTCTGAAGATACTGGTTGTTCGGGAATGTTCTCGGTAAATCGAGTCGAATAGCATCCACAATTGTCGCTGGTACATCGACCATTCGCGGCACTGTACATGAAAGGAAAAAAAACCTCGCTGTAAAACTCAACAGAACACCTCCTTAAAGGCAGTTGGCACCAAAACGTGGTATTCAGTCTGAATTACTAGCAGGGCGCTACCTAGTGAGTAAAAAAAGTGAAAAGGCCGAAAACTGCGAAGAAAAGCCTTCGTTCTTAAAAAGCATTTCGGACGAGTTTCCCGTAGGCATATTGCAAATAACCGCTACGGTAGGTACGGCTGCATGTATGTACTCATATATCCATTCAGCACCGCAGCCGCTTCATACCGATCCCTTCCTTATATTTTACTTAGCAAATGAAGCAATACGAGCATCAGGTACGGTCGTCCATTTGTGGGCGGGCGGGCGCGGTGGGCGTTCGTCGGTATGTTGTAGCTTGATGAGACCCTTATAAGGGCACCTTCTTAGGGAAATTGGTGTGCAGCGCCTGCTCAGGGTCGAATTCTGCCCCGCCAGGCGTATCAATCCTACTCTTCTTTAGGGATCTATCGTGCCAACTGGCTTCAAGGGAAGGCCTCAATCATCTATAAGTCTCTCTAAAGAGGAATGTAGTGGAAAGCACAACGGACACCCCTGTAGGCTCCCGTCAGAAAATTGTAAGGTAGCGGCGATAAGATACAAGGTTGAACAACGACTCCGCCAAAAAGTCAGTGACTCCTTCATCGATGATAACTGTCTTATCATTTGTCTTACTCCTTTGCGCGCTCTTTCGTCACCCTTGTCTGGCCACTCTCCCGAAAATCACATTTTTTGTCCCTCGTAGATCACGGGCAGCCTGATTTCAAACGTTTTCGACTGTTATTTTTACTTATTTTTTATTCTCAAGCAAGCCAGTTAGCAAGCACTCTTCTTTTGTAACCCCATTACCAACGAATCTCGCTGGCTCATCACGAATCCCGCTAATTAGGACTTGGAAATGGAATCAAGCAGTTCCCGTTGGAAGTCTTTGAAATTTCTTTCAATGGGGCAATCGTTCACCAAGACGCATAACACTAATAAATCTCCTCCGATAATCCCAAAGCAACGCTTTTTTCAAGAAGAGCGATGTGAACGGAATCGCAGATTCGCCGCATAAAGCGGGCGATTAGAGGAGTTGTTAGACCTGACCAAATGTTAATCTCAAGGTCGTCCCGCGCCGCATTCATTCCTGCATTCTCATTCACCTGTATGTCAAGGTGTATAAGGGCATACATACTTTCATTGAGAGAAGCCATGAATGAAAAATGAGCAGCGACTTCCAAGCCTTGTGAATCCTGCACGGGAAAAAAAGCTGCGCAGCGTTGCGGGGAAATAGTAACAGATGACGAATTGACGTGCTGGTGATTTGTGTGCCTTTCAGCCAAACTGGACCGGTCGCGTCGGCATCTCTCACACCAGCCGGCAGTTTTTGCTCTGGTCGTTAAAGGCGAGAAAAACGGAAGTCAAGCATCAATGTGCTATGCGCTTTATCGGCCCGTCAAATCCCAGCCCCTTGAAAAAACTTGATGGATAGACTGATGAGGTGAGATTCTCGCGATAGCACATCGTTTACAGCTACCAGTAATTACTACACAATCAGCGTCGGATAGTATGGAACATGCGATAGAATGTGCGCTAATGAATCTTCAAACTAGCTTGCGACTCCTCGTTTTTTATTGGAATTGGACATTTTATGATTAATGTCATTGCACTACAACCGAAACATTTCGCCCTGAAAAGGCACAATTTAAATTAGGATATTCAACAATCAAAGGAGGAAAGAGGCTCTCGAAAAGGGGAGCTAGGTATTGAATTCGGACAGCTCCCCGAAACTCTCCTCCCCTTACGTTACCTCCAGATCAGAAGCAAAATAAACTTCATCTTATTTTCTGGGGGGAGAGGGGTGGGAGAGTATCAGACGCAGGGCGCATCCTTGTATAGGGCACACAGAACCCCGAGAACGTTTTTCTTGGCTTTGTTTTATTGTTGGTTTTTATCTTGGTGAGCGATCTACACAGAATGAGAAGTGTATGAAACCAGTTTGAAGATTAAAACTGTGGAAATACTGAAAAAAGCAGCTTAAAACACTTAGCCCTGTCAGGTGTGCCTTTTGCTGATGTCCTATATCCTAGATGCCTGCATCTCAGGAACTCAGGAACAACATTAACCTCTCATTTCTCCCACTTGAGCATTATCTCGGTGGAATCCTTTTTTGCTTGTTAGCAAAGGAGGGGGCCTTTCGTTGCCGAAACCACTTCGCCCTGTCAGATTGGCAATTCGCGAGCATACTGATGCCTATATCTCAGAAACTCAGGGACAACTTTGTCCCCTCATCTCTCAAAGTTGAGCGTTATCTTGGTACAATCCAGGGGACTTGAATTTCTTGCTAGCAGA